GACTACCAGTATATTAATGAATGGACGATCAAGAACACATACCCCCTTCCTCTCATCCCGCCACTCTTAGCGAAACTTCGCGACACCAAGTACTTCACCAAGATGGATGTCCGATCCGGCTACAACAACATCCGGATTCACCCAGAAGATAGATGGAAGGCGGTGTTTACCACTGGATTCGGACTCTTTGAGCCGAATGTCATGTTCTTTGGTCTTTGCAACTCTCCCGGTACTTTCCAGGCCTACATGAACCAAATGTTCCAACAGGAACTGAACGAAGGATGGCTCATCGTCTATATGGATGACATCCTGATATTCTCCAAGAACCTGGATGAACACCATGAACGAACACGTCGGATATTGGATATCCTCAGGAAAGAAAAACTATTCTTGAAAGCGGAAAAGTCCCTCTTCGACGTACAAGAAGTTGACTACCTCGGAATGATTATCAGACCTGGACAAATTGCGATGGACCCCACCAAACTCAAGGGCATTGCAGACTGGCCGACACCAAAAATGGTCACTGATGTACGATCATTCCTCGGATTTTGCAATTTCTACCGGCACTTTATCCGGCACTTCTCCGACATCGCCAAACCATTGAACAACTTGACGAAGAAGACCCAGCCATTCTGCTGGACCGAGATAGAAGAAGATAGTTTCCAAGCACTCAGAAAGTGCTTTATGACAGAACCCGTCCTTAGAAACCCCGACCCTGCAAAGCAATTCACTATTGCAACTGACGCCTCCCTAGTAGCGACTGGAGCAGTGCTACTACAGACCAATGAAAACGGTGCCTATCACTCCTGCGCCTACCTCTCAGCATCCCTTAACGCAGCAGAACGAAACTACCAGATTTACGACAGAGAATTGTTGGCTGTCATCCGAGCTTTGACAGCTTGGAGACACTACCTAGAAGGACATGGACACCCGGTCATTGTATTCACGGACCACATGAACCTCCTCTATTTTAGGTCCGCTCAGCAACTGACTTGCCGACAAGCTCGTTGGCAACTTACTCTGAATGAATTCGACCTCGAGTTTCACCATGTAGCAGGAATGAAGCTCGCTGCCCCCGATGCCTTATCACACCGCCCTGACCACCATCCCACCGAAACCGACAATCAAAACGTAGTCCTACTTCCTGATGACATGTTTGTGCGGTTAATCGACCTGGAACTTGAAGTGGCATTGAAATCCGATGATCCCACGGCAGATCCGATCATCAAGACTGCCAGTGATGCCTTAGATGGGCTTTGCCTGCCCCCTATGAAGTCAACTCTATCTGACTGGAAATTCGCCGACGGTATCTTACAGTACAAGAACCGCGCCTATGCACCCCCCGCACTCCGAAGCCGCATTTTGCAGCTTCACCATGATCACCCGACCACCGGACACCCTGGCCAATTCAAAACTGAAGAATTAGTCAAACGTGACTATTGGTGGCCCCAGATGGCACCTTTATTAGGAAATATGTCGAAGGATGCGCTATGTGTCAGCAAATGAAATCTGACACTCACCCCACCACCCCCCCTCTGAAACCTATCAACTCTTCCGGTGTATGCCCCTTTTCCCAACTATCCGTCGACCTAATCACTGACCTCCCGGAGAGCGGTGGTTATGATTCTATGATGGTCGTGGTAGACCACGGACTTACGAAGGGGGTAATTATTTCACCTTGCAAGAAGAACATCACCTCCGAAGGGGTGGCGCAACTGTTTTTCAAGAAAGTTTTCCTGCACTTTGGGCTCCATGATAAGCTCATTTCAGATCACGGACTGCAATTTGCATCAAAGTTCTCAAAAGAACTCGGAAGACTATTGGACTATGAAGTTGCACTCTCCACCGCATACCATCCGCAGACCGACGGGCAGACAGAAAGATTGAACCAGGAGATCGAAACCTACCTTCGGATCTATTGCTGATCGAACCCTGAAACCTGGGTACAGCACCTACCTATGGCAGAATTTGTGCATAACCACCAAAAGCACGATGCACAGAACGCATCCCTGTTCTTCCTGATGATGGGCTATGAGCCCAGAGGCATCCCCCACGCCTTCCCACCTACTGACATCCCTGCAGCCGAGGACCGTGTCACCAACCTCCAGAAAATGAGAGAAGAAGCAGTATCTTGCCACAATATCGCTATGCAACGAATGGCCGAAAGATCGCATAGGAAGAAGTATGAACCATGGAAGATAGGAGACAAGGTTTGGCTATCAGCAGAGCACCTGTTGACGCATTTGCCATCAAAGAAGCTGGCGCCAAAGCGGCACGGCCCCTTTACCATTACCAAGGTGCTATCTCCCATCACCTTCACGCTCCAGCTCCTGGAACAATGGAAAGTCCACCCCATGTTCCATGCATCTGAACTATCCTCCTATTGGGAGACAGAAATCCATGGCCCGAATTTCATCGAACCCTCACCTGACATTATCAATGGGGTTGAGGAGTACGAAGTCGAAGTGATTCTCGCTCACAAAGGAACAGCGGCACACCGTTGCTATCTAGTATCCTGGAAAGGGTACTCTTCTGCCAGCAATGAATGGCTCAAAGAGGTCGATCTAGAAAACTCCCAGACACTTCTCAAAGCGTATAAGAAGAGAACGAAACTTGCCTGAATATCAGCAACCTCCAGAAACCCACAAATAAGCATGGCAACTCTTCCCCCTAACGCTAGTGAAATCAACGAACAATTCATCCTAGACGAAAATTCCTCCCTTGCATCCTCCATCTCTGACCCCTCATCTGCAGAGGATACCGACTCCTCGCTTGCATCTTCTCTATACTTCACCGTCATTGATCGTATTGAGGGAGATGCCCTCTTTGAAGCAACAATACTATCAGAGCAACATGCACTCGAGCTGGAGAGAGTCCTCGCCAGATGCCCAGCCAGGAGCGCCACTATCATCTCCGCTATCATCCACCTCATCCGCACCACACGCCTATTGAATTATCCGCAAATAGACTCCTGAGCGCATCTGCTCAAGAAGCCCATGAAATTGTCCATTGCCAAAGGCGCATCCGTTCTATTGCGCTCCAGCTCCTTCCTGATAGCCTTAAGCCTGATCTGCTATCAGTTGTGCATATCGTTGCCATTAGAACCGCGACTCAAGTCGCTCACCCGCCTTCTCCTCCTCACCCTCGCCCCAGTAATCAGTCACCAAATTGTGACGCAACTCCTGCTCCGCTCCCAGTCAGAGCACCGCAACCTCAGGTTGCAACCAGGGGTAGAAAATCCCCTAGATACCAAATGACTCGCTCATGGGGGAAGCAGCGTATAACAACGCCCTCCCCAGAACCCAAGAAGAAGGAGGTCATAGACCTCACATCCCCCTCGCCATCTCCCCCGCCTAGAATCTCGGCAAAGAAGCCAGGATTTGATAACATCAAGTGTCGCATCTGCGGTGAATACGGGCACTGCCACAAGAACTGCCAGCAGTACTCCTGCGTGGTATGCCATGCCATCGCCCCCAGGCATCTTTTGGTCTATTGCAAGGACCTGAAAGGCACCTACCCACTCCCGATTGTCTATACTGACAACAGATTCTATGAAGCCCTCCACAACTGGGAGGCAGATCAACGAGCATTCTATGAACAAGAATGCGAACAAGCCGATGAAGACTATCGCAACCAGCCAAGCTCCTCTACGGACCTTGATGATTTCAATAACGCCGATGCAGACCTTGTCTACTATGACGATGCTAGAATGGAAAGTTGTTGAAGCCAGAGACTTCAATGGTTACACCGGGGTAATGTTACAATAACATTTACTCCTATTTCATTTTTCCTTTCTTGTAACCATGCCGCCGACTCTAGACCCTTCTAGACCCGGCTATTCTCTTATCAAGCGGGCTGTCCACACTTCTCTCCTTCCTGATTGTAACATAGATACTATCTTGCGCCGCATGGCGGTTTCACCTATCTTTGCTATCTAGATAGGTTGTACTCTTTTTCCTATCTTTGTTACCATTCTTGTCGCGGCTGCACGGCTCCTTTTTACCTATATAAACCCCATGTACCATAGCTGTATTCCTTAACTTAATCTACTGGGTTTTCCCCTTGAAACCTGATCTACAAGGTCTCCACCCTTGTAGCCTGAATACCTGATTCTAAGACAGTCACTCACTGTCTTAGCCTGAACCCTTGATTGCGGTAGAAGTGCTAAAACCACTCACCGCCTAGACAGAAGTGCTAAAACCACTCGCCGCTGATCCTGCATAGAAGCCGCCACGCTCGTACAGAAGGAACCCTTGAACCAGAAACCTTCCTTGTACTAGGAAGGCCGACGAACTGTCAATTCGACTGGTCTATCTTTGACCTTTGACAGAAGAACTATCCCAGTTGTAACATTGGCCGTGGAAAATGTCCCAAAAATCCTGAGCGCATGCATGCTTTAATTCAGGCTGAACATGAAGGTGATGATCAGCCTCTGCATCGCCATCGCCGATCTCGTCGTTTACCCAAGAAGAGCACCAGCATTATCAACGACAACAACTTCTTTTCAGCTCTCCCAGTTGACCCTTCAGATGCCGATGATGGTGATTTCGCAGGGGATGACTCTGACTCTAGCTTGGAGTCAGAGTCATTAGGCTCTAACAGTGATGTCCAGGAGATAACAAATGTGAAGGTAAGTTATTTCTCATGTTTTTCTTCACTAGCCTTACTAATTATGTAGCTTGCTGCAATGCTGCCTACAAAAACTGTACCACAACAAGGGGGAAACTGACACACACCAACTCCGACAGGATATGAAGCGCAAGGCCAACCAACCTTTGCCTGCCACCAGCGACTCCCAGGCATCCAAGCGTGCTCGCATGGAGGAAGTAGATGATGAGGACAGTGGTAGCTTACAGCCATCAACGAGCTCAGCTCTTCCCCAACTATCGAAGGTGAGTTCTTTCCTGTTGTTTATAGCTATTCTAACTCGGGTCACTCCAAATCATTAGCAGGCCAGCAAGCACAATCCAATCTATTATTTCTATGAGCTTGTCAAGATGAATTCCAACGGACAAGCAGGTGATGTTGGCAACAAACACTACAAATGCTATTTGGGAAACTGCAAGGTCCTTACCATCATGCGTGCGATGAAAAGCAGTCTGAATGGTATGTTACATTTTGAAGGCATGTCTTGTTTCTTACTAGTTTCAGGTTTGATCGGTCATCTGAAGACTCATTTTCCACCAATGTATCGACTATATCTGCTCTTGAAGTCTCATGGGACCCCACCTACCAACGACGAACTCAGGATAGCATGGGGAGAGAAGGTTCTCAATCCTGCCGCAGCTGCGCAATATTTGGTCCAGCTTGAGCAAGCATCAGTAAACATTTTCGATGCATTCAACAAGCAGGTTACCAAAGCTTTTGGCGACTGGAACCAAGCAAGGTTTGAAGAGCTGCTCGCACAGTGGCTTGTGGCGTGTGACCAGCCGTTTGAGGAGGTAGAACGACCAGAGTTCAAAGCACTCCTAGACTACGCACATGGAGGCTCCCCACTTCACATCCCTGGAAGACTTGCCATCAAGCGCCGTGTTATGAAGATGGGAGAAGATACTATTCAAGGTGTCAAGGACATGATTGAGGTAAGTCGAGTTGAGTCGAGTCAAGCCAACAAACAACGACTAATTGTCTATATGATATGACAGAATCTCGAGTCTAAAGTCAGCCTCTCTCTCGACACATGGACTTCAAGTAATCAATTCGCTTTCCTGGCCATTGTCATGCATTATATCACAAACAACTGGAGTTTGGGTATGTCACTGCTATATCTCATTATATTGTATTATAACTGCTGCACATTATAGAAGAACTTTTGATCGATTTCCGTGAGATTATCGGTGAACATAGCGGAGCTAATCTTGCCTGAAGCAGTTTGGAATACCTTGGAGCTATATGGACTGAAAAATCGGATCATGGCAGTTGTGTGCGATAACGCCTCAAATAACGACACCCTACTTCAAACACTTGAAGAGAAATGTGCCGATGAAGGAATTGACTTCTCCGCTAAGCACTCGCGCACCCGCTGCTTGCCGCACATTGTCCATTTGGCCGCCATGCAGCTGCTTGAAGGTATTGGAGCTATCAAGCCAGATGCGAAGCAAAATAAACGAGTTGCAATATTGTATCAAGAATCAGTCACAGCACCGCTCGGTCACGAGCATGATGACTATGCAGCTCTTCTTGACGAGGCTGAAGACGATACTGATGAACAGCCTGCCAGGGATGACTTTGAGTTGTTACAGCAGGTACTGTCTGCTGTTACAAAGGTATGTCGGACTACACTATGTGTTACGTATTTTACCACTAAGATGAAACCAGCTTTGAAAGATTGTCCGTTCTGTCCATTCAAGCCCACAGCGATGGAAAGCATGGCTTGCAGAAGTCACGTTGTCTCTTAAGAAGGCTGAGAACGCGACAAGTCAAGTCGCCCTCATGCTTATCTTGGATGTCAAGACTTGTTGGTCTAGTGCTGCCATGGTCCAGTTCAGTCAGGTTCACAGAGGGATGAGCGAGAACCAAGAACCAGACCTAGGTCCGGTTCTACCAGACTTGACAAACCCCGAACTGGACCTTTACAAACGGTTAGGAATGGTCAGGTCCGGTTATTTTCACATTCGAACGTGAACTGAACCCGATTTTTTTTACAGTGAGCAAAAAAAAAACGTAGATATTTTACAGCGCGCAAAAAAACGTAGATAGAACTTGTACTCGTAGCTACACATCCAACATGGCTGCTTCTGCCTCAACCTTTGCAGAAACATGGCCATTCTTGTATGCTGCCTTCAATAGCTGCAGCGAGCTGAATGTGGATGCTGCAAGTCCATTGCGTCGAACAGTAGAAGTGATCCCTCCGCTCGAAAAAGCCTGTTCAGAGGGGACGGAGCTTCCTTGAATGGGCAAGTAGTCTTGTGCAATGTGTGCTAGAGTAGGATACTGCAATGAGTGAAGCTAAGGAACCATTTAAGTAGCAAATAAACAGGTCATGATGAGATTACTTACGCCCCACCAGGCAACAATGTTGTCAGCTTGCTCTAGCAGCGAAGACAGATACATCGTGAGTTCTTGATGAGTAACAAAGTGAACAACCGCTCTCCAAGGCCATATATGTTGGAGGGTCACGAAAACAGCCCATTTGAGAGCCGGGGGTGCAGGATGCGAGCCTCCGGAAAGAATTCAAAGTCGTCGCAAATCCTGAGGATCCCAATGACCATGGGGGCAGAAGTTGAAGTTGAGTCGAAGTCGAAGTGACCATTACTAGTAGTGTGTGCCTCACCAATAACATGAGGATGCTGCGGTTCGGGGTTCGGAACGGTTCGGGAAGGTCCGAACCTATGTCCGAACCGTTCGGGTGATAGTGGACCGCGAACCTCTTTCAGGTCCGGTCCGTCCAAAACTTGGAACCATGGACTGAACCAAGGACGAACCTGACCAATGGTCAGGTTCGAACCACGGCAGCACTACATTGGTCGTCCACACATCAAATGCTACGTCGGGCACTTGATTTTCGTCAAGCTATTGATGACTTTGTTGTGAAGACTCATGACCTCAGGCCATACGAACTCTCTGATGCTGATTGGGCAGGGATTGAGCTGGTCATGACATGGTTGAAGGCCTTTCGCTCTGCTACCACACAAATGTCCACGACAAAGTGTTCCATGCTATCTACCGCACACGCAATATTCCGTGGACTCCAGGAGTCGCTTCAAGATGACTTGGCAGAACTTCCTGATTCAGCCCCGGTGAAGCTACGGTCTGCACTAACAAGTGCACATCGTAAGCTCAGTGATTATTACTTCAAGATTGATGAGTCGCCTTTCTACATCTGGGCCTCAAGTATGTTACCTTTCATTGCAAGTTTGTTTGGCTAGCTAATCAACTATTCCATTACGTGTGTTCTGAAGTTCTTGACCCCCGCATCTTGTACCATAGGCTCCACAGCGACTGCAGAGATGATATCACTGCACAAATGCATATCGAGACGCAGAAGAGCAATCTGCATGCTCTTTATAAGAAGGAGTATGCTACAGGGGTGGTGCAATCAGTCCCTTCATCATCTCCCACTGAAGCAGGCCCAGACTCGAACACTGGGCACCAGTCTCCGACGAAGGTCAACTTCACAGCAAGGTACAAGAAGCGATCGAATGTTTCGATAGATGAATTCGAGCACTACTTGAAGCTCCTGCAGGAGGATTTCAATACTTGTGACCCCATTCAGTGGTGGGCAGGTCGCCATGCACAATTTCCCAACCTTTCTCGTCTCGCGCGTGATATTCTTTCAATCCCTGGTGAGTGTATAGCCTATCTAAAACATTCATATTTGTTTATTGTCTTCGCACTATTTACAGGGTCTGCTGTTGCCGTTGAACATATTTTTTCTGGGGGTCGGGACACAGTCTCTATGCGGCGTGCAAGCCTCAAGCCTGAGACAATCAGGACGCTAATGCTGGTGAAGGCAAAACTTCGTTTGGCTCGTGCTGCAATCCAAGACCTCATTTAATGTACTGTATGTACCGTATGCTACCGTATACGGCCGTAAAGCACGCCGTACCGTACCGTCAGCACATATTTTTTCATCCGTAATAGACGGTTATTTTTCAGCTTCATACGGCGGCATACCGTATACGGTACGGTGAACAGCCCTATGCATATTATGTGACTTGTTCGGTGCCAGAATATTTGAACATTTAATATAGCTCCACATAGTACAATCGATACCTCTCATTAGTGAGCTTCTAATCGGTCAGACTAGACTGAGCATGATTTTAGTGGAGAATAATTTCGCACAACCCGCACTTACATTATAATATGCATAAACGTAAAATGACATTGGTAAAACTGTGACCTTTCCAATTCGACTGCGATGATTTTATACTTGTTCTCGTAACTCGTTAGTGCCGTGACCATACTCAGAGAAAGTTTTATATCGAGAAGACATAGCTCTGATAATGAAATCCATCTCCTTGACAAGGCGCGCCAAGTTGGTGATCAACAACTGCGAGTTGAATCGAACCAGCGGGTCGCAGGTTCTCAGATTTTATTTTATTTCGTCTTCGAATTATTTTAATCAATTTAATTTAATTTATCACAAATTCAATTCCATCACGCTAGTCATCATGATGTTGAAGTTTCGCATGGCATCTATCTTATAAGAAGGTTCAGGTTTATCCCTCGTGTACAGCTTCAGGTACTAAGAGTCGAGCTCTTCTTGTCACAATCTGTGATCATTTGAGGGTTCAAGGCTCATGTACAGCTTCAGGTTGCCTGCAGGTGTCGATTTTGGGTATACTATTTGCACCTCAACCTGTTTGGAAATTCAGACGGAGTGCTGGCCCGACAATGATATAAGGACAACCTCGTTGCAGAGTTGCTTCAAGCTCGAGGCATTCCTTTGTACCATTGACATAGCTCAAGTCGTTCCCCAACCTCTCATATAACTATAACCACGTCATCATCACAAGCTCCTCTTGTTCAACAGACCATGTTGGACTTACTCTCCAAAGATCGAATAGTCAACGAGACAGGCCTCAGAGCCGCCTTACATTATCTGGACGCAATTTCAAGTTCAGGAGCAACAGAATTACAAGCCACGGTCGAAGATATGTTGTCATCACCGCATATCTTTGCATATATTGTTTCTGGTATCTCACAAACTTTCTTCGAGCGTTATCAGCTCTGATACTTTAACAGTTTGGGATCGACGCGAGGCAATTATCTCACAGATCATGACAGACTTTCCAACGAAATTTCAAGAATATCCAGCATCTATTGCGGGAAAGATGCTAGACAATCTGTCTATGTACTTTTTAACTTTGCCAGATGAGTCTTTAGCGATGGATGTCTCAAGGGACATTAGCCGCCACCGAGGCTTCATTGAGCGCGCTTTACCTGTCCTTTGCGCGTTGGACACTATGAAATTTGCTAGTGCAGGGTCATTTGAAAACGAGATTGATCTCTTCGACGTCAGATCTGATTATGGATTTACCACAAAGAAGGTGCCTCAGAAAATGCGCAAGCGTAATCGTCGCCTGAAAGCTCATATGACTATCGACACATCGCTCTTCGCAAGGCTTGGTGTGGTTGTGCCTCTCACGAGCGAGGATGCCGCATCATTGTCTACTCACATTCTTGCGAAGCTGAAGGATACTCTCTTGGTGAGTATACCCACTGCTTTTGACGTTTCCCCTGAAGATCTTCGTAAAAGTTCTACCTCTCGCTTCTGCGGAGGACGGAATTGACAGGCGACATCAAAGCCTCACTCTTCCCAAACATGGGAGAGTCTGCCAAAGATGTTGCGCCTGAAGTTTCGTCAACCGAGGATGTCGAGAGCCCAACAAACCTACCCGATGCATACCAAATGGTGCAGCCTGTGGAGTCTGCACTTTATTTCGACAATGCGGATGGGTTTGGAGAGTGGCGAATCCTCGTATCTGCAGAGGCCTACAAAAATTTACGTGAATTCCGTAGAACAGATCAGAAGATGTTCAAGATCATCTTCAAGAAGATCAGGTCTGTCTTCTGATGAATTTTACTGCAATGATCTCATCGTTGCCACAGACAACTATCGAATGGCCAGTTCTTAGACGATGATCTTAAGCCACGTAACGGGCCGGATGCAGGCATACCTATCTACGATGCCAAGATAACAAGTGACCTACGATTAGTAGTAGGTGTAATTTTACATACATCGCTTAGAGCAGGGGAAGACTGACCTTTTCTCACAGTACCAGATCGATTGTGTCCCTGACCAGGATGGGAAGGTAGGTTGTTCTTACCTTACCTCAACATCGAGCATGATACTGAGACTGAAGTCTGACAGTCCGAAAGACAAGGCGAGCCAAGCGCAATTATCGTTGTCTGCCATTAGCACTCATATGAACTCCAGTGATCAAGGTATATGGCCTTTATATGCATGCTCAGCTTGGCGAGATATGGGATGCCTTGGGTAGCCATCTCGCACGCAAGGGCAAAGAATATTGTAAGAGGTCAGGTCTTTTCTTTTTTGGCTCTCGAAGCAATCCGGTGAATTTTTGCCTGTGCAGACGCACCTTCCGGAACAGACCAGTCATTTCCAATGACTGCGTCATTCTGCCTGCGTCGTTCCCACCAGCAGAACATGAACCAGAATGTTCAGGAAGCCCACTTGATCTTAGTGATGAAGACATAGACCATGTTTGAGTATTTTCAGTTGTCATCTGTGCGGTCATTGATTCATGACATAGCTTCACTCTTTGCTTGTGTATGAAATTTTGCCATCCTGATACAAATTAATTTCCATCTAACGATTTTCTAGTTTGGAGAAATATGTCACATTTTCGCAAGTAAGCTTATACATATAGCTTATAGGCACGTTAATATTGACTTGAAATCTCTTTTTTTAGGCGATCCTGAATAGTGGGTGATCATATAGTTGACTCGTCACCTCTTCTCATCTTTGCAAAAGGTCTTATCGCAAAGCAAGACGTACAGCACGTGTTTATACTCTCGTGAGTCGTGAGTTCTGCCCCAATGAGACAAATTTACTGATCAATAGGTTCAGACCTCAAGAACAAAAGGTTGTCGAATGTACCACGTCATGTTACGTGTTGGGTCGCAGCGGGACAGGGTGAGTCCTGCTCCTGATATGAGTAGCTTATTTATCACACTCGACTAGAAAAACCACGACGATGCTGTTTAGGATTCTCGGCATTCAGCGAGCTTGGGAGATGAGTGGCGTTGACATGCCGAAGCCACGCCAAATCTTTGTTACCAAGTCCAGAGTGCTCGCTACGAAAGTGGAAGAATATTTTACGAAACTTCTCAGATCTATGGGGTTAGCAGGGTATACCCTGGAGGATTTTGTAAAATTGAAGGCACCAAGTGTTCAGGAGGGCCTTGTTGATCTCGACGACCTGCCCGAATCACAGATGAATATACCCATGAAATATAGCGAGCTTGAGGATAAGCACTTTCCTCTTTTTGTAACTCTCGACCGAGTACGTCCCAATCCGCCATTCAAACAGTTCCCAAGCTAATCGCCTATGTAGCTGGCGAAGATGATCGCCGCAGATGTCTTGAGCAAGGACGTATCCAAGACGAGAGATAACGCAGGACGTTTTTTCAGTGTTGACGATGCTGAGGCTCATGACTGTTTCGTCACCTATGACGTATTCGCGAGTCAATACTGGCCTCATTTTCCGCAGAAACTCACCAAAAATCTTAGTAGCGTCCCTTTCTCTCGTGATGAAAATGAAGTACTGACGCTACTCCATCAGACCCTTGGTTGGTTTTCAGCGAATTCATGGGTGAGTACTATTTGTATTCCCTTGACACCGACAATTTCTGAATATACATACAGGGATCATCAAAGGTTCCCAACACACGCTGACCTGTCCTGAAGGAGCTCTTAATCGCCCAAAATACCTCCGTCTCTCTCACCGTTCTCACCCAAATTTTGCGAGTCAGAGGGAAATTCTGTATGACATCTTCGAGTATTATACGAAAATCAAGAGGCAGCGACGTCATCATGATGTTGCAGACCGGTACGACCTATTCCCTTTTCTCACCCACGTAATGTCACGATATGTGCCCAAACAGCACGCATGCGATACTCAAGGCCTTGCGAAGTCAGAGGTTTCCTGGCCAACAGATCGATTATCTGTATGTGTTATCCCCGCTAATGCATCTTGCCCCTGACCGCCTGCACTAGTTATGTCGACGAAGCACAAGACAACCTTCTGATCGACGCACTCTGTAAGTAGCTACTACAACTTTGGTTGACAAAGATTCCTTTACTAGATTTTTCTATTATAGTTTTGAGGCAATTATGCAGGAATCCCGACGGCTTGTTCTGGGCTGGGGACACCGCACAGACAATCTCTGCAGGGAGTTCCTTCAGGTTCGAGGATCTCTCAGAGTTTCTCTACCGTACGGAGGTCAGCAGGGAATAACTTATCTCGGGCCCGAATTGATACCTTATAACAGCAGCAAAACATCTCGGTCAATTCTGCTGGAGCATGTTTGCCTCAGCCTACTACATTTCAATTGGCGATCAACTACAGATCGCACGGTGGCATCGTCAACTGCGCGCATTCTGTGATCGAACTCATCACAAAATTTTGGCGCAACACAATCGATAACCTTCAGCCAGAAAAGGGGGTGGTTGACGGGCTGAAGCCTGTATTTTTTACGGGTTGGGATAAAGACACCGTCCGTTATGAACAGTTCTTGTTCGGGGCGAGGTAAGCAGGCCTGGACGATATCTCCTTTCCTCCTGAGGATTCTTTCAGCGGTAGTCACATTGAGTTCGGGGCCCAGCAATGTAAAGTAATTGGTTGGAGGTTTCATTCATACACTGACAACGTATCTAGGCATTCTCGTGCGTGACGATGCAGCACGTCAGAAGTTACGAGACCAAATTGGTGAAATTGGACTGATTATGTGAGTCGTATTAAGACTACCTTTGCTGTGTTGTCATTTTCACGTATATATGCAGGACGCTTCACGAGAGCAAAGGCCTGGAATTCAATGATGTGAGAAGGCTAAGTTTGCTATCTGATGAATGTCTAACTTCGGTCAGGTGCTGTTGTACAACTTTTTCGAGGATTCTGTTGTAGATCTGTCACGATGGCGCGTAGTTCTCAATGGGATAGACGGTCAGGGACATGTACCAAACTTCGAGCGTTACAAGGCGCGATACGCTGGGGTCTGTAGCGAGGTAGGCACGCCGATCCTCAAAATAAACTCCTGCTTAATTTTATTAGCTCAAACTTCTTTATGTTGGGATCACTCGAGCAAGAAAGAACATGTGGATCGTTGACAAATCTGATAAATCTGATCCGATGCGTGTACGTTTAAAGCAGCATGTTGGCGTAACTCAATCTGATAACCCTTTCCCTTCAGACGTTCTGGACGTCTCGCAATCAAGTCCAGAATTGTACCCCTGGTACCGATTTCCCTCATCTAGCCGTCTCCTCGACTCCAGAAGAATGGGCATCCTTTGGGCGCTCACTATTCTCGCATAAAAGCTACTCGCAGGCTATCCATTGCTTCAAACGTGCTAACCTTCGTCATGAAGTGAAGGTTTGTGAAGCATATCAACTGCGAGAAGTTGCACGCTCTAGTGTCGGAGTGGCCTTACCCAGCGACCAAAAAAGAGCTTTTAACGTAGCTGCCAATGTCTTTGATGATTGTGGGGCGACCGCGACAGGAGATCAGAAGCTTCAATATTATCGTAGCTCGGCGGATTGCTACGTTCGAGCAGGAGATGATCTTAAAGCTGCTGAGGCCTATCTCAATGCCCAAGAGTTCGAGCAAGCAGCGAAGAGATATCGCAAGGTCGGACAGTTTGATAAGATCCTCCAAGTCCTCGATGATCATGGCATGAATATACCTGAAGAGACCAGGGCGGAGTTATTCTCAAACAAAGAGAGGCTCTGAATAGGACTGAGGGGAGACGATTCCGAAGGAGGAGGAATAGAAAGGTGTCGCTGAGACGGAAAGCGAAAAGACAATGTGTATGATGAGTGGTAGTATACTGTATCATTTCATTCAATTCGACACTGACATACTGGGTCAATTTGACATTCCAACACATGTGACTATTACACCGCTTCATTGCTGTCAAGCGAATATGCGATGGAGTGCTTTGTGAAGGACTCGATCGTTCCATGAGGAAAAGCACATGTTTCGAGCGACATACACGGAGATCACAGTAGTACTGAGCCCATGGGGATCATATGCATACTTTCTGCGAGCTTCTCGTCTAAGCCAGCCTGCTACTGACCTTAAATGTATTCGTACAAGACTGACTGTTACAGGTTCATATCAAAGCTCTTGGAACAATGTGACTCATGCTAATAATCCACAGTCTCCCAGCTCATCCGTTTATCCAAAACCCTCTTCTTCACCAAGCTCTACTACATCCCAGCCATCTTCCTCCACGATACGTTCGCTCCTCGTTCTCCCGATGCCAGCTTCTTGCGCTGAGCGTCCCGGCCGTATTCGTGCTGCCCGAGCGGGACTAGCAGCAGTAGTTTGAAGGACCTGCGCAAAGTCGAGCATGAAAGAGGGGGGTGTTGGAGGTAAGAGGAGCGGGGTGGTAGAGTGTGATCGACTGTGATGATATTAATCAAAAAACGACACATTTGGATGAGAACGATAAATAATGAAGCAGGAATAGAGTATCCGACGTTAGTAAAAGACAACGTACCGTCCAAGCTCCCCACTACAACATACAGCCCACAAATTACCCAATGCAATCGCCTGCCTGGGACAAGGGGATCTCGACACCTTGAGTATGAGCGAGGTAACACACGTTGTAAAGAAGCATCGCAAAGCCGGTTGTGAATGACTGGTTTTGGGTGTGGGCTGGTACCTGTTCTGGAGCTTCTGAGTCAGCTAACGATGCAGATGTACAGGATGGTGATGAGGTGGGAGAAGATGGTGTAGACGATGGTTTGGAGGTTAGGTGCATTGGGTGTTTGGCTGTCCATCTATGTATAGAAGGAGAACATGAAACGGTTCAAGTAAAAATACAGTAAATGATGAGAGGAGACGCACTTTGCCCATGATTCACTCCCTCGTCCTGCTCTGATCCAAGGGACACCAACCCCGAGTTTTCTGCAAGACCACGAAATTTCGAAAGGTAGTTTAATGCCTAGGTAGAAAGTGAGGAGTCCAAGAAAGTGAATGGTATGAGTTATTACGGCGTTAATGTGATCCGGTGGGTATCCTATGATACGACCTGTGTGATTAATTTCTTGACATAGTAGGCACTTGCGTACGTCTAACATCTCCTGGCACTGGAAGAATCAGTCCACCGATAGTCCATTCTCCTTTTGCGCCTGGTCGTCCACCCACTGCGGGTCGTCCGCCGACTTCGACGACATGAAAGACTTCTAATAGCTCTTGTACAAGGCCCGATCGTGCTCTAGCGATAGTTTGGCTCAGTACGGAAAGTTCCTGAGACTCCTTGGCGAGTGCTTGCGATTGAGGTGGAAGGAGGCGTGCGGTGTTAAGTGTGCGTCGGCGCTGACCAAGGGCCTCTCGAAGAGTACGGAGACGGTCGCGCTCTAGATTAAGTCAGAGCATCACACGCGAACAAGGGTATAGCACGTACTGCTCTCACAGTCTCTTTCTCACTTTGGCAAGGCGGCCGACTACTAATTGCTCGAGGCTGCGATTCACTTTTGCAAGGTCTGCACGAATTTGGAGGCGACTAGATTCTATAGACTTGAATGCATGAAATGCACGAGCAACATGTTCATTTCTGTCGGAGGAAAAATGGTGGAGTTTGATGGCGGAAATCACGTAGGCTGTATGCAAGGTGAGAACGGGTTGCGATAAGTGTTTTTAAGTTGCTTACTGATTTTTGAGACAGACTGCGCAATAGTACTGACGTTGTCTCAACTCGCAGTTATTACACTCCATTGCCAGAAGCTTCAGGTGCCAGCAGTAAGTAGTAGTATGATAATACGGGATGCCTACTGAATGACGTAAGTCAGACCGTCTAAGTACTTACTAGGATTGACAAGCTACTGATATTTCAGAATACGACAGAAAACGTTTGGCGACAGCATCGTCTACCTCCCACAGCGTACCGACGACGCTCTTGAACCCTGAAAACTGGAGACCAGCTGCAAGATGAATGACTTCGTCGGGCGTCTTCTCATCTCCGACGGCAGTATGACTCGGACATGCCGACAAAAATGCGAACTCTGCATGCGGATTATCTCTCTCCATGATGTCAAGCAGCGTCAGAGGTTGATCTCTCATGACGAAATGGGAATTGTAAGGCTGCATAGGGTCCTGCTTGCCATGGCAGGCTAGGTGCACCCAGGTGTATTGTCTTGCAAAGCTTGGAGGGCACCAGCTCGTGTGGCCGCGTCGCTGGAAATAGTGATGTGCCTGGCCGTCGCAGGGACAAGCTTATGGACAAGCTCGAGCTCACTGTCAACAGCCAAGAGTACCTTTCCTTTGCCTGCACCCGGTTGACCTTGTCCAATCGCCACGAAAAATGGAGTGGCACGCTTTGCCTAGACCTGACCAGAGCTGAAAGTGTCGGTGTGTAAGAATGGATGTAGAGATCCTCCAGGCATGGCTCCTTCCCAGAGTAATCTGGCTTTGTTTAAGAAGGGTTAGCCGCATGGAGAGCAATCGGCGTGAAAGTTGCAGTTGGACACAGCCGGATTCGAGAGCGGCGCTTTAGTTTGAGGACGTGCTCGAGTACATCGACGACGGGTAGCATTATCTCGTCCCATAAACCTGCAAGAGTACTATTAGATCCGTCCTCGATTCAGCTGGGTTGATTCGAGACGTGTGTCTTATTTCCCTGGTGAAGTGACCCTTGAGAATATTCAGATCTGCGAGAGCGATAGACGGCAAGTGAACGTGATGAAGCTCTCTAAGGTTGGGATAATGATGGCGCTGCACGAGTATTGACCGGCAACGAGGATGATGTGCATCAGGTAAACAAGATCTATAGGCTTGTTGCAGCTATCCATAGCTGAGATACCTGTCAGGATGCAGTGAAGGCAAAGCTTCTAATGATTCTTGGCAGAGAGTAATGGCCTCCTCGACATCTTCATTTGTCCGAGGCTGCGTGAAACGAGAGCAAAGCGCCGAACTCAAATTGTGAAGAGTTCTGTGGCGCTCTGGATCGTTAACCGATGGGATTCGCGATATCGATCAATGGCCTCGTTAAGATCCTCGCTGACATGACATTTGTCATATCTTGTGTCGAGCGAGGGCAAGGTTGTTAAGCGTGGTGTCACAATGTGGATGCCCAGGTGGGTGCAATGTCAGGGCCTCGTGAAGGAGGCTGATAGCTTGGGTGATGCCATTAGTGTCCTTGTGATTGTGGAAATGGGTAACAAGGGCATACCCTAGGTTGTCCAATGAGAAATCTCGGTATTGGTGCACAACAGTGCACAGGCGCAGCGCTTCTTCGTACAAAGAGCTGACCTCATCAAGGTCATTAGGTTTGCCTTGGCGATCGAACTCGGGCGAAAAGCCCAAGTTGAGTAAGTAGTCACCACGGTCAGAATGTCCCTCTGGGCACAGAGACGCAACTTCACGGCGAAGTTGTATAGTTTCATCGATATCATCGATCCTGCCACACTGTTGGAAGCAGGTTTCTAACGCCAGTGCAAGCGAGTGAAGGGCTCTGGGACGGAGTTGATATCTCAAAGGACAGAGCTCGAGTAGATTTCGTCGAAGGTGGATGCCTTCATCAGACGCGTCAATTGGAAGATTGCAGATCACATAGCCGACCACACTGTCTACATGCATACTACGAAGGTAGGAGCCCTCTGGACAGAGGGGCAGGAGGTTGCTGCACAGCTGCGCAGATTCGTGAATGTAGATGGCGGCAGATTCCTTGCTGTGGCGGCAGATTAACACTCTAATGAGATCACAGAGGGATAAGGGGTGACCCTGCGGACGCAATGCAAGGGCTTTGCGGAAGAGGGAAGTAGTGATGTCAATGTCTTGAAGATGGTCTTGAATATAACCTTCCAAGCGGACAAACGCAAGGTTGGTGAGAGCCCCTGCATGATCAGGATGGTCGATTGGACACTGATCAAGGACCAGCTGAAAATGCCGCATAGCATCGTTCAGGTGAGAGACCGTCTTGCTCGTCATGTATTCGGCAAATCGTACGTAGCCCGCATTTGTATCTCGAGTAATCTCAGAGTCTACGAGGGACTATAGATGGTGTCCCATCAGCAAAATCTAACAGCAGAAGCCAGCATCACTCACATCAAAGAGTGAGCCGTCGTGATCATCGCGAGCATATACAACAGCGGCCTTCAATGTGAGGGAAGGGTGGACTCCATACACAGGTGGAAATATTAGATCTACGGAATGTTAGTAGATGTGTATAAATGAGAAATAAGTTACTCACCGAATGGCTCATCACCATGATTGAGTAGTTCATCCCATGATGTTCGAAGCTTCCCTACGACTTCTCCACTGCCTAGCATTTGACCAAGCTCATAGGATGCCCTCATCTCCACTGATAACGCAGGTGAGGCATGTGACAATCTATAAACCAATGATCAGTTCTCGTATCGCGTCGAAGAGTCCCTGTGAACTTTACAGAGTTATACTATCTCCCCACGCTACAGATTCATCAGGTGATAAGATACCGATAGTTGATTTCCAGTATCTCCGGGAGTCGACATTGATGGATACGTAAATGCCAGCGGGCATGCGCCAGGAGGGGACTTTAAGATTGTGTCCACTGATGACTGTAAACATATGTAAGGATTATAAAATAGAGACGAAGGAGGGACTGACCTTCAAGTCTAATGTGTCGTTCTTCTAAGCTGCCAGGCATGATGATGCGAGGAAACAAAATGACAAGTGCACGTGTACTCTCACATTGTCAAGGCCTATAATAGACGCTGGTATGAGCGCTGAGAAAGATGGCCGGCTATATAGGGTTAGCGAGAGAGCCTGTGCCATAGAAGTAAAGAAGAATGTCATGATCAGTCTTCAGCGAAAGTGGCTCGCCAAGGTTGAATGGGACACGCGAGTCTCAGAGTGTCTGGTAATGGTTGCTGCTCCTAGGCGTCCATCACAGAGTCGTATCACTCAACCTTAGGACACAAAGGCAAAATTGAGAATTGAGTGTATTTCTCAAAATAATAACAATGCAAAACCGCTGAAGACGGTGTGCACAGAAAAGCTGAACGATTCTGTACGACTTGTCCGAATGGGCGTTGTGGAAACACCAGGGATGAGATACACTGATCGCAACTTGACGAACCAACTTGAACAAGAGTACGACGTATTAAAATTTAACACAGCCACATCAACCGCAAGCTAACGGCCGCAAAGAGCCGCAAAGGTTACAAGAAAATCGACGACACACAGTACACACACCACTACGGAACCATCTACTTCAACATTCGTGAGGCGGACGCAGCGCACAACTGAACAAGGTACGATCATCGTGTTCAAGTCGTGCCGTGATGGATAGAAGCAGAGAGTATCGAGCGCAGTGAAAGTCCTCCATACTCGAGGACAGAGACACTTGAGGCCGTAGAGGACGATGCGAACGTTGCAGGGTAGGCTCATTGCTGCTCAAGAATAAAAAGATTCGAATTTACCTGTTATCTGTGAGCCCGCCAACTAGCCTCAGACAATGATTTTTTTGACCTTCATAGTCCGAGTCAGTTATTCCACCCACCTCACACTAAAACAATAGCCTCTTAGTGGACCCATACCTTTGTGTTTCCTTCTCTACAGTGCACACCCGGCACGGTCATTTCCTGGTGCACGGAAACGGACCTAGTAGGCACTGCTTCAGCTTCAGAATCACTACGACAGACAACCTGCTGCCATTCTTTACGCCTCGCTCATGAAATTCATATTATTTATGCGAGTTCAGTGATCGCGCCAGCAACAATCACCGATTACACACGTGATATCTCTCCGAATCGGTAGATAAGACCTAACGCACATCTTTCCCTGTATCAGTACGCTGAGAAAGACTCTTAACTTCTTCCTCTCGCCTCGAGGCAGCAAATTTTATCTCTTGCTGCTTCTTCCGGTCCGGAGTACATCTTGAAGACTCCTTGTCTTTGAGCCATACCACATGTCAATCTACTCTAATGGTAGCTTTGTGTCTGCTAAGTGATGGGGTTTCGGGCCAGGGTGTTCGGACTCGAGTGTTGCGTCATGTCGGGACCGATAAAGGCTCCAAGTTGGAGCAGAGCACCTGATATTTGTATGTTCTTGCTGACAGTTGCTCCTCCCGGTATCTTAATCATTAGGTCACAGGATGATTTATATATATAGATTGTTTTCTATGACAGAGGCCGGGCATGCATATAATTATTGCATATAAATCACTCCACCGCAAGCGAGGTTATCTCGCAATTCACGATGGTTTCAGAAGACAGCCCTCTGCTGGCGTCCTCTATGCATGAGGCTATCTATGACAGGTTTACCCCCGACCAGAAGAGGTGGATCGTGTTTCTAGTTTCTTTTGCGGGTCTCTTGCCTAGTGAGTATTGGTGATTTGAAAGTGTACTGCTGATAAGTGATGTGATGCTGATGAATGCGATCAGTGTTCGTCTCAGCAACATTCGTGCCTTCCATTCCTCAAATAGCTAAAGATCTTGACTCGACGCATGCTGTTGTCAGGTGCGTGTTGCAGATTCATCGTATATAATATTGTGATTGAGTGATTTTCCCAGTTTGACCGTCAGTCTCGATCTTGGCGAGTGCTGTCGGAGCGTTAGTTTGGGCCGCTTATTCGTCTTTCTGTGCGTGTATCCATAGCGTGTTATGAGCTCGTTAGTTTCAATTCCTAACTGTGATCCCGCAGATGGACGCCGATTGATGTATTTGTGGGGCGTGCCGTTTTTATGTATCGGGAGTTGTGGTGTTGCAATGGCAACTTCGTTGAGGAGTTTGTTTTCTGGCGATTCGTGCAGACGTTTGGATGCTCTGGGGGAATACCGTTGGGCGCTGGCATTATCGGTGATATTTATAAACTGGAGGAGAGGGGGACTGCTATTGGAATATTCCTTGGTGTGAGTGATCCTGGTGTTGAACGCTCTTGTATGTTTGGCAGTACTGGTATTGACAAGACTATCTCAGGCCACGCTTTTCGGGTTTGCTGTTGCTCCGTTTCTTGGAGGTAAATATTCTCCGGATGTTTATGGATGCTGAATCGAGCGGTACATCACAACAGGTGCAGCGGCGCAGTATTGGTCCTGGCGCAATTTGCATTATTCCGTTGCTGTGTGGGGCTTGCTCGAACTGCTTCTCGTATATATTTCGTTCCCCGAGACGAGCCATCCTGGTACGTTGGGTATCGATAAACTAAAACACAGGAGACGGATCCACATCACATGGGTCAATCCTCTCAGTAGTCTCTGGATGCTTCGGAGCCCAAACCATTTGCAGTCGTGAGTTTATTTACAGTCTACGTTGGTACACGCAACAAACTCTTAGTTCTTTGTGGGATTTAGATGCTTGCCTCAACTCTAGTGCTTCTTACTGACTATGGTACGTTGATATTCGCTGTATAGTGCATTCTCACGGAAAATCATACAGTTCTCCTCGTGCCGCTGGCGTATACTATTGTAAGCTGACACTCATCTTTCATCTCGTGTCCTGATCGCAGTTCAGGGTGTTCGGTATGGTATCGC